TACCCCGTTTACAGGTGACAGAAGCAGTAAAAATACCGAAGAAAATATTCTGGTTGTCTATTCCGTCATACTTCTTTATCCTACCTTCCCCTTTCCTTCAGAGGACCACGCGGGCTGGCCTACCTTGTCACTTACTTAATGTGGCCACTATTCCAACGGCGAATAAAGAAATTTTGTGACTTTATTCACTGTCCCACTATCGCAAATGAAACGCTTTGCCTTCTCTTACGACTCGGGATCCTTTAAAAGAGGCGTGAAGAAGCATTACGGGGTCCTTTAAAAGAGGCGTGAAGAAGCATTATGTAGGCCGGGAAGGTGGTATCTAGTGTAGCAGGTGGAACTGCCGTACCAGGTATCTTCGCGTCTGGACTTTCCGTCACTTAACATCAGGTGGATCGGAGTAATTTGTCGGACCAATTTATAAAATAAATCCAACCTTGGCGAAGTTTTGTAGTTGCCTCCTAACAACTTATGTTCGCGATTAAGTTCCAACTCACGGCTAAATCGCGTCACATTGTATGGCTGAGTTATTTCGCGCCGACGCACGCTGCTCGGCATATTGTGTGCTAATAATATAGTCGGAGGAGTTATTAACTATGCTCGGGTGCTAAACAATTCGTGAGCTAATGGATAATCCCATGAATTTATGATCGTTCCTTTAGTTAAAGCACCCATTCTTGTTAGAATTAACTCGATAAGGCGTTGTGGCAGTTAATCGATTCAAATTTAGATGTGAATATTTATCAGACGGTTAGGTATGTCGCTAAACTGCAGACGCACGGACCGACATGCGAAACTAAATATAGAATACCTTTGTTGACTTCGGTACCCTAAAACGCTAGACTAATCTTGATTTTTTTATGGAAAAATAAAATGCGCCTCAAAAAAAATGATCACCTAAAACACAATTGTATTTTTTTTAATTTCAATTACTATTTTTTTGATGTACATTTAAATATGTGCCATTTTTATATCCAAAGAAATCTGCCAAATAAATCTTTTGTCCCGGTAGCATAGTTCGTAGTTTGTGCATTCGAGATTCGAACCCGGAACCTCTGAGTAGGCTACACCTTGAAAACCGGCGTACATACCACTAGAGGTGCTCGAGGAGTTAGTTACGTGGTAGACCTACTACCAATTAAGTAAAACCATTTTTCTTGAAAAGAAAATAAAATATAATTTCATTTAGCCTGCCACGGCGCTCTGGTTCATTTAAATATCCTTCTCATTAAGGCAATCGACAAATAACAACGCTACAAAGTACCTACATATAAGCTCCTTAATTCGTATCTCATTTTCTCGTTAGACATGGTAGGTACACACTGGGTTCTATAATGGTTGGCTCTTAGCGGTAATGGATGAGAAGCAACCGCTGTGTTTGTCCCCACTCCCGCTCCATGGTACTCCGCGAGATGGAACAAACACGGACGAGATCTTTTACATACATCGCCTTAATTGCGTGACACTGATACGAGATTCGCGAAAGAACGATGTTTGATAAATAATAAACCATATTATAGGGAGAAACTCCCGAAAGCAAGACAAGTAGTCGACAAAAAAAGAATAGGTACCTAATTTAGAATACAAAGAAGCTTTTAATTTTATTCTTAAACTTAAGTGGGTAAATAAATTATAAACTGATTGATTTGTTGCTAAACTAAACTAACAGCCGTCTTTAGATACATCTAAATTAATTGTTTGCTTCATTAAATCACGTTTTACTTAATTCTATTGTCATTTAAAAAACAGTAATAACACCAGTCGGAATTCTTAACTGTTTCGACATCTCTGATTGCGTAAGACGTGCTTTTTTACACGCCCGCCGAAAATAAATAGTGTAATGTTTTCAGCGTTCATGCATGTATGTACCTATGTTCCTATGCCTAAGCTGATTTAGACGTTTGTGGTTAGAATCCTTTCACCATACCGGGTGACTAAAAATATCAATGTTAGGTATCGATTAACAATGGCAAAATGTCAGTTGGGTAATCAAATCAAAAATCAGTTTTCTAATTATTATTTTGAAAGATCTTATTGTGACCATCTCATATTATGTATATACAAATATCAGCATATGGCATTAATAAACGGGTTTACTTGTAAAATGTAATAAATACTAGAAAATATGAGGTAATAGTCGGGGGACTGTTTTGTAATGAGAATATGTCATTAAAAGTCCCCCAATTGCTTAACAAAAATAAAGGTACTCATACATACCGACCATTCGACACTGGTACATTCCGACCCATTGGGAAAATGACTATTTTTTTATGTTTTATACCAATTTCTTTAACAGCAATCGTATTTTTTATTTTTTTATGTACCTACATGGGAAATATGTAACAAAGTTTTTGCCACCGAAAGTTGTAGACGAGGATATGTGAGGACTCATTTCGGCCAACTCGAGAGCTCGGTAAAATGAGCAGAGCCTACCCACTTTAAAGCGGAGATCTAGTGGGATGAAAAATGAAGGCTAGGATTTTGGACGCAATGGGTTTATTGACACTATTTTAAATTTATACACAAAATAATATTAAAGCAGATGACAAACAAAGCATACGAGAATACAATAACAACTTTCGAATGTCAATACTTTAAAAAACACATGAAAAAACTATAAAAACTAAATCTATCAAAAAAGGTCGGCGACACACTTAAAGACAGATATAATACACCTACACCTGTCACCCGACCATGGTCCACGGATTCATGGCCCTTTTGTCTTGTCTTACACAATGATTCGTAAATAAAGGCACGTATTGTAGGCATATTAAATATAATCATCGATCTTCTCGACTGGACTCCACTTACACTTAACATCAGGTGGGGTGGGGTAATTTGATGCGCCTTGTATAAAAAAATACGTGTGGCACTCGGGAACTGCCGCGGTAAAGCTATTGCATAGCATTATTTATCAACTAATGCAATTACAATTATTTATTTATTTTATTTATGCAGTATTTTTATTTCTTTGATATTAATTCAAGTTTTTTCTTTGATATTAATAGATGGCGAGGCAGGCCTTATGATATTTTATTGGGCAAGCACAGCAAACAACAGCATTGCTTGGCGCCAAAAAACTTCCATAAGCTTACTATCTTTAAGTTTACCATCTTTAGTCCAAAAAAATAAATTATAATTATAAAGTCTAAATAAAAGAGAGACAAATAAAAATAAGAACAGGTGCTGGGGTCTAAAACAAATATATATAAAAAAAGGACAAAAAAATATAATAAAAAATACGAGTGCGGGATTTGAACCGACGACCGCAGTGAGGCGCCGCAAAAATTTAACACACTGCACCGTTTGGACCGATACTAGAAAGGTGAAATTTGTGTTCATATGCACTGTTGTCAGGTTATTTTCGTTACGGAATTGCTGAATTCTGAATTATGCAATAGCTTAAAAAAATAGAAAAATTATTTCAATGAGTGAAACTTTTGAAGTATTTCACAGCACCTCATATTTTTACAGATATAATAAAAATATTGTACGCCGGGTACCTGTACTTAGTTGATGTTTCACTGACTTATAAAAATGGCAAATGAAAAAAGTGTTTCCTCGGCCGAGAATCAAATGTCAGAACATATTTTATATATAACATCCAGGCCGCTCGCGTGGCAGTCGAGCTTTCTACAGATGAATCACCGATGATTGTTGAAAAACCCAGATTTTTTAATAACAATAAAAATGTTATCAAAAAAAATGTTGATGGTGTAACAAAAGTTTCATTTTCTTAATAAAAAAACATACCCAGAACAGAAACAAAAAATACTTACAGTTATTTATCATGAAATAAAATTCCCAAAATATCAAATATGCATTCTTATTTCGAGAACATTACCAAAAGGATCTATTTTCTAGCGAAGTGCTCGTAAGGAACAGTCAAGTTATAAAAACGTATCAAAATGCGCATATTTTCTGCAGCTCCCATTGTAAGCGGACTGTCCATACAGATACTATGTAAATATAGGAATTCCTGCATTCACGAAAGATGTTGGGAATGTTGAATTAGAACCTAGATACGGGGTTTCGGAGTTGTATGGAAATTACCAAATTGATAATATCTGTTACGATGAAACATTACTTTATTAAAAAAGAAGTTTGAGAACTATGACTTGCTTTATCAAATGACCTAACGATAATAAAAAAAAATGAAACGAAACGAAAACTGTAATATTGAAAATACACAGCTAAATTATAGTAGGTGAAAAGTTATTGTTGTGTAGTTTTAAGTGTCTCTGCATACTTTGCTCTACACGAATCAATATAATTTTAAATTTTGTAAAGCAGTAACATTTTTTTGCGTCGTTTAGTTACTCTTTAGTTGCTACGACAATTATCAGACACTAATATACCAATTAATTGTGTCATGTGGCAGTCTCAATTAAGTTCTATGATATCTTTCAAATAGTCACTTCGTAAAGTTTGAAACATTTTAAACCACGAAGGCAGCAATTTTACTAAATCTCAATTTAAATAATACCAGATTTAGCTCATACAATAATTTCAAATTGACATTGACTTTTTCACATTTTTCTATGGAATAGATCAAATTTTAATTGAATCGAGATTTAACAAATTAGCTGCAAGTGGACCAAAATTAGTTCGAAGTTTTCCACCACCAAATTGTGTTTTTAATAAAAATGTTAAATTACTTGTATAAAATAGTCTTAAACTCAAATTATAGTTTGGGGCCCAAAAAGAATCATTATTAAAATCAGACTAAGCCAAATTTAACCAAAGCTAAGCTGATCATTATTATGCTTCATTCTATCTCTTTTTAAAAAAAAATACATATGCTATGATGTGTTAAACACGATTAAGACTTTGAATTAAGAACGTTGTTGCTAGTGGCCCTTCAAAAAGTTTGAAGTTGACTTTCCTGACAGTTATACTATATTGATAAATCCAGAATATATATTGAAACCACCTTTATTTTAACTTATAATATAACTCTTAACTGTGTGGGAAATATTATATTGTTTTTTTCTTTTCAGTCCGATCCTTGGCGTGGCAACGTTCACCTACGAGCGATACGATGATGGTGTCGAAGAGCCCGTCTGCCTCACGCAAGCTGACACCTTCTGGTCCGCCCTGTTCTTCATACTCACCATTGCAGTCTTCTTCATCATCCCCTTAGGCGTTCTCCTCGTTTTGTATAGCGTCATCGCCAAGAACCTCATGGAAAACCCCGTCATCATAGCCCAGAACTCTAAAAACACAAGCAACACCGGCAACGTTATCAGATACAGGAAACAGGTCATACTCATGCTGGGCACAGTAGTACTATCGTTCTTCTTATGCTTGCTGCCATTTAAAGCGTTAACGTTATGGATCATCGTATTCCCCCCCGAGACAATAATGTCGTTAGGTATAGATGGTTATTATATACTTTTGTATTTTTGTAGAGTAATGCTGTATTTAAATTCGGCAATAAATCCTATATTGTACAACTTGATGTCGTCGAAATTTAGGGAAGGGTTTGTCAAATTATTAAAGATCAACAAGCTGATGAGGTGCAGCCGGAATATTAGGGAGAACATGCAAAGAAGAGACACTTTCAATACGACGACATCGACGGGCTTCTCAAGCAGCAAAGATACATCAGATTCCTTTTGGAGGCGATACAGCAATAGAGCATCTTCTCAAAAGAACATATTAAATAAAGGTAGTAAAAAGATCAAAGAAGAAAAAGTTGAAAATGTGCAGCAAATGAAAGTGGGTGAGATTATCAACGTACAAAATACTAGACGAAACAGTATGAAAATCATAGCAGCCATGAATGAACTCAATGATAACATCGAAGTTGAAATACATGAGAATCACTTAGAAGAAGAAGTCACAAATGACACTGCCACCGAGAACAATAAACAGATACAAATATTGAACTTAGACGTTAAGACTAATAATGTTTATTCTATAACTTTAGATGTAAGTGAAAATAACGAGGGAAGGAACCGATTTGTATGCGTGCCAGCTCAGGATAGGGACAAGCAAAACATATTCGTATACGACTTTAAAAGTAAAGAGAGTTTTGTGTAAGGTTTTGTATACATAGCTGATAGGACGATGGTGCATTTGGCAGTGTGCCAAGTAAAACAAAGCATTTATTAATTGTAATAGAAAAGTTAAAAATATATACCTTCCTTAATATAATTCGTCGTTTGAATTGAATATTTTTTTATGATATGCGACAAATCTAAGGAAAATGATAAATGCATTTATCAAGTAAAAATAACTTTAGATTTATAAAATACTTAAAATTAAAAATATAGTAAGTAATAATTCTGTTAGATATGAATGTTAATAATTGCATGCATCGAAATATGTTTTTGTCGCAGTTTATGAAGTAGTATATAATTAGTATTTCTGAACAAATTACCACAAGTTTTTTTTGTACCAGTTGTCTTAATAATATATGATGTACTTAAATTTTACTTTGATGAATAAAATCATATTTATTGCCAATTTAATAACTTCTAATACCGCGATGCAATAAATTCACGTGCGATTTTTAAATTGCCTACCCTGTAAATCTTCGCAATTCGTTTCATGTGGGGTGTCAGCAATAATTTTGATGGCACATGGCACGCTTTCATCTTTACAACAAATTACACATGTTTTGATAAACATTCTGATTAATATCGTCGGTAGCAAAGAAAGAGCTAACGACAAATGGTGTACATTTTTCTTTCGACTGGCGAATTAAAAGAGAGTATTGTTTTTTACGATTTCATTAAGACCTGGCAACAACAGAATAGATAAAAGTTTATTGCAACAATTAGGGGTCTCTTTTGATGTTACAATTTTAATGGATGGCGATGATTACTCATCACCTGATCATACAGTTCAAAATGACACCTCCATTTTAATACGAAATTAATAGTACCCTTGACTTGTACTGCGTATAATACGTTTTTTTCACACACATTTTCTTGCTTTATTTGACCCTCCTGAAGATAAAAAAAAAATCCTTTATTCTTCTCGTGAGTTAATAATATCTCTATACTAAAATTTTTCAAGATCGGTTCAGCCGTTTGAGCGAGAAAGCGTTTCAGATGTACATAATCACATTCGCATTTATATCATCATCAAGCTATTAAAGTCCCCATTGCTAGGGCACAGGCACAGACCCATTCTGCCACGTCATTTCATTTGTATGAAGTTACTGCAGAATTTTACATGTGAAACCAGTTGGTAACTTATTTTTATTGGGTTTTCAAACCTGATAACTGGTTTAAGGGCTTTTTTTATGAATATTATGAAGTTGAATAGGGAGGGCTTTATATGTACGAGCGGCTCACAGCTGTCGCCTCGCACCTTTCGGCGGCTGGTTGATGGCTACCGTCGCCGGGCTGTCGGTTGAGTGCTTGTCCGTGGCGGCTGACGTCTCGTCGGCGGTGGTCGTCGTTGACAGCGGCGACCTTGGGGTCAAACACGTTATCCAGGAAGACCTCAGATGCGTTGGGTCTATGACCTTAATGGAACAGCAGGGAAAAATTGGCTTCAGGTCGCACAAAATCGTGACAGGTGGCGTAATTTAAGGAGGCCTACACCCAAAGTGTTGAGACAGGCTGAAAGAGAGATTTAATGAAAAAAAAGGTAAATTAAAAATTCACAATACCCGACTGCTTAAATATTACTTAAAATAAAAACTGTAAAGAAAAAAACAAGTCCAGTAGTCTATAATTCTGTTAAGTAAGGAACAAAGCTACTTTAACAGTCAATTCCTTATCCGTACATCTAATGAATGTAAATTATATACTTAACTAGTACTTATTTTCCTATTTATTCAAAAAGTCATCTTTTTCTTATGTTATTTTTAGTAGTAAATAAAAATATCATTTACTTTTATTCGTCAACTATCTAAAATTGGCAGTGGCTGTGTGCAACTCTAAGATTGTGATATACACAAATGCAGTGCATATCCTTGTCTCATAATTTGTTTTACTTACACAATTCACAGAACCAAATATGTAGGTGCCAGAGGTTAAATATTATTATGCTAATTATAATACCTACCTATTGCCTTGCCTCTTTATAATACCTACCTATTAGTATAGATATACTAATAGGTAGGTATTATAAAGAGGCAAGAGTTGTATGTGTATAACAAATAATCTCTCAAACCTGATCCGATTTCGAAAATTCATTTAACATAAGTTAGCTTGCTACATTATTTAATATATTTTTAAGCATTAATCTCAATAAGTTGATTAATCTGCTCGATTTACAAAACTAAAGAAACTTTTACTTGAAAAATTCTAACAACTTCTCCGAGAGTATTTTTTTAGTATTTTTTTTCTTTATAATTACATTATATTCGAGTGACATAGGCTATATTCTATCCCGTTAAAATAAATTTCGCCCATGCAATGTCGGAGCGGATCACTAGTATAATATAATATTGAAAAGATGCGAACTTTGTTTGTTACGATTCCGCGCCCTAATAGCTAAATCGATTATGATGAATTTCCCTTTAGAAATAGATGAGGCCTTGGTTATTAGCTACATTATCGAAATATCTATAGGGGTAGGATGATGGGAGGGGTGATTTACCTATCAAACTTTATATTATTTGCTTCGAATTTTGCAGAATTATCTGCAGAATAATAAGAAGTAATATCGTTTAAATAAACTTTGAAAACCGTTTCATTCTCAGTTTTTCATTAAATTTACAAAAATGGAAATACCTATTATGATAACTTCTTTTTCATCTATACTTATAATAAATCTGTAGAGATGTCAATTCTGTACATGAAATATATTTTTAAAATAACTATCAGGGGGTGATTAGTGATCGATACTGATGCCAAAAATGCAATCAGTAAAATTTTTGTCTGTCTGTCTGTCTGTGGGTATGTTCCTTATAGACACAAAAACTACTCGACGGATTTTAACGAAACTTGGTACAATTATTCCTCATACTCCTGGGCAGGTTATAGTATACTTTTCATCACGCTACAATCAATAGGAGCAGAGTAGTGAAGGGAAATGTTGGGAAAACGGGAGAAGTTACTCCATTTTTTATGCTTCCGTCGCGTGTGCAGCCTTAATGGTTAAAGTTACATAGAAATCATGTATGACGGAAATATTCTACATAAAATTGTCTAAAAATATCCCGCAACAGCATATGTCTATCTTTTATGGTTGACTCACAATAACACGTGTAACTCCCGATAGCTTAGCAGTTCGGAGCATTCTGATCATATTTGTTTACTCTTATGTTTATAATACTCTGACTCATCCCTAATTTAACATAATTACATATTCAATAAAAAAAAAACTTAGAAATCGGTATAGAAACACCAAACTTATACATGAAATAAGCCATCGCGCCGTCGCACGTGAATACTGAATCATGCTATAAGGATCATTTTTGTGTAACGGTTGCCGCGCTCGACACGGGTCGCGGCGGCGCGGCGGTAGGGTATCAAAAGGCGGGAGGTCCGAGAGCGAGCTGTCTAAATATGTTTTCTGCGTCGCTCCCCGCCCTGGGGGACGATCGCTTCCGATGAAGCCTTAGAGGCCTTCCCGGCCAGAGGCAGCCCCTACGAGTGTTTTTTAGTCAGTACGAGTCTGACATAACCTTGCAGCCGGCTGTAGGGTATTCATGAGGATTGCACAACTGCTCCCCTGCCTAGGAGGAAACAAAAAAAATATAAAAAAGAGAGCGAGCGAGCTTCAATATTTGGCTGTTGATGCGTTCAGAGCGCTCGACCTTATTGACAGACAATAATTGATATTGTGAAACCGTGCTTATCAGCGCGACTTTTAGTCTTTAAATAGTTTTTTTGAATTTCTTTTGTTGTTATTTTGTAAAATAGGTATTAGTTGTTTTGGTAGTGTTTAAATATTCGTTCAAATTAAAAATTATTAAATTACTTTTATTAATTAAAGTAGTTATAAGTATTTATTTTTAAGTGAAGTAGGTATAGGTAGATAGTATTGCACAGGCGTTTCAGCTTTATTTTCATTTCTTTTTTGTTGTGAGTAGTATATATTTCTGGTTATAATTCTATATGAATATTTTAGTTTAAATAGTCACTTAGATTTTAAGTGTAAGGTAGCTAAAGTTAGGACCACGTATTAGTTGTTTTGGTAGTGTTTAAATATTCGTTCAAAGTGTAATTTAATCATATGGGATGAATGCACGATGGCCCATCGAAAAGGAGTAGAAGCGGTAGACAGAACTTTAAGGGATATAAGACGAAATGATCGACCAATGGGCGGTATCACAGTTTTATTTTGTGGTGATTTCCGACAAACCTTACCGGTAATACCACGGGGAACCCGAGCTGATGAGGTTAGGGCTTGCCTGAAAAGCTCTTATTTGTGGCGTGATATACAATCGGTGCATTTGACTATAAACATGCGAGTGAGAACTGTAGATAACCCGGATGATCGTGAATTTTCTAATATATTATTAAAGATAATACCTTCACCAAAGATACCTATCCACTGCTACACCAAGGAAAACTTATTCTGACGCCTGAGTTATGTTGTATAGTGCAATCCCAACAACATTTTATATCGTCAGTTTACGGTGACGCAATAAATATATTAAATAAGGACAATTCTTGGCTATGCGAAAGGTCCATTTTAACTCCTCGCAATGACCAGGCATCTGAGATTAATAATAAAATACTGTCGAATATACAGGGGGAAAGCAAAATTTATAGTTCAATAAATAGAATGACCGATGAACAAGAAGCCACTAATTACCCGATAGAATTTTTAAATTCTTTAAATATGCCCGGGCTTCCTTCTCATGAAATTTGTTTAAAAATTGGCATTCCGATTATTCTGCTCCGAAATTTAAGACCACCACAACTTTGCAATGGAACTCGGCTTAAAGTAACCCAGTCGCAACAAAATGTAATCAGGCTCAAATTTCAATAGGTTGCGGTGCAGGAGAAACCATCTTTATTCCCAGAATTCCCATGATACCAAATAATTTTCCATACCAATTTAAAAGAACGCAATTCCCAGTATCGGTGTGTTATGCAATGACAATAAATAAGGCTCAAGGGCAGACTTTTCGTGTTGCTATAGTAGATCTCGGTGTCAGTTGTTTTTCACATGGTCAGTTATATGTCGCTCTTTCCCGGGTTAGCAGTTCTAGAAATCTTTATGTTCACGCGCCGGACGGGTCAACTTTCAACGTAGTTTACCCGGAAGCTTTGCGCTGAAGTATTTTCATTCTATATGTACTTAAGCCTCATGTGAAAGTGATCTAAACAATATTACCAATACATTAACATAATAACATACAAGGAGTTACACACTGATGATCCCCGAGATCATCAGTGTGTAACTATGCACAGTGATAATAATAATATTCTGCGGTTCCTTATTGCAATATTTTTAACAGTATTGTGGATTGACATATTATATTTCCCTACTAAAATACGAAAGTTAATCTGTCTGTCACATCAAAACCACGGAACCCTGAGGAAGGACATATGCTACTTTTTTACGAAAAACGACGAAAACGCGGACGAAGTCGCAGGCTAAAGCTAGTCATTTAATAAGAAGGAACTTTATCACAGTTTTATTGTAAGTACTTCGTATAGGTTTAGATACTGTGAGTAGCGCATTTTTTTTCTTTTCCTCCTAGGTTTTATCTACGTTTATACTCGTACTCCTGCATAGCACAACGCGCTACCACTTTGGCATCGTAACATCATTGTAACTTTTTAAATATTTGTCGAAATTACACAGAGTAAAAGGCAAAGTTATCGTCTTTAAATTTCAAAAGCG